AAAAAAGAGGAAGACCCCCAAAGAGATGGATTGGTCAGGTGGCAGCATCGATGGACTCAAGCGTGGCAACAGTAGTGAGGTTACCCCAGGATCGGGCAGTGTTTCATTCTGCTGTGCTTAAGGTCGTTATGAGTTGGTACTGACTCGATGGCACCTAACAACAAATTGTGTAAGGGTGAGTAAAAACTATCCACACTATGGTTATATTGAAACTTCTCTTGGCTGCACTGTATTACTGAGTGATTTCTGTTCAAGATCATTGCTGTGCAAGTGAGAATGTGGATATCTACAAACAAAATTTGGGCTGATACTCATAGGAAAGTAAAAGACTCTTAAAAAAACAGTAACAAAAAACGTTAATGGTAACAAGACATGGATTCATAAGCCTCGGAGTATATGGCAGAGTATGGAATGGAAACATCCTCAATTGCCGACCAAGAAAAATTTCAAAAGTCAACCACCATTACTTGGAAAATTGATTCTTACAGTTTTCTGGGATTCTCAAAGGTCAGTATTGTAACGCTGTCATGAAAAAGGTTCAACAATCAACTGTTCTTGTTACAGTGAGCTGCTCACTGAAGAGCTGAAGCCTAAATTTCAGCTTAAACATAGAGGATTGCTATCCAAGTGCATTGTGATCTTGCATGACAATGCACATCTGCACACCTTTGCCCACACTGTTGACACTCTGTGAAAACTTCATTTTGAGACGTCAGCATCTTCCCTATAGTCCTGATCTTGCTCCATCAGACTTTTACCTGTTTGGTCCCCTGAATGTAGCCCTTTGAGGACAAAGATTCACCTCTGATGAAGAAGTGAAGAGAGCGATGCATTCGTAGCTCGCAGCTTAGCTTAAAACCTTTTAAAATAAGGGAATATTAAAGTTTGTTGACAGATGGATAAAGTGTATTGAAAAGCAAGGAGATCATGTTGAAAAGTGATGTATTTGTCTTTTATAAAAGTTGATTAAAATAAATTCTACAGCCAGAATGTGGATACTTTTTGACTCATGGTCATAAATAAAAATGGGAATATGGTTTGAAATACAGAAACATAGAAAATCAGAAGGTAATACAATCTTTACACAAAAACGTAAGAAGAAGGACAAATAAAATTAAGAGAAACAATGAAAACCCAAGTTGCAGTGATAAACACAAGGGGGCTTCAAAAAGTTCATGAAAAAATGGATTTAAAAGACAATGGATGTCTTTTAAATAAAACAAGATGGAGGACAGGGTAGATAGACATGCAGTGAGGGGCTCCATCAGCAATCCACCAACTAGATGGACTGACACAGTGGCAGCAGCAATGGGCTCAAATGTAACAACTGTGAGGATGGCGCAAGACTAAGCAGTGTTTTGTTCTGTACTGCATAGGGTCACTATGAGTCTGAACGAACTCAAAATCACTAACAACAAATGTATCACTCCTCTCATGCTCGTCTAATAGTTACTTGTCACTTAAAGTATTATCAGTATGCTCCTTGTTTTTCTCGCTGATTAGGGACTATCTCAAGATTTTCTTTGTTCTTAACCTGTTAGCTGAATTTTACCTTATAGCTGGTATTAGGTTTAGCATAGAGAAAGCAGGGACATTGAGTGTTACTTCAAATCCAAGAGGTTAAGGAGACACTATTTTATAAAGTCACCTTACTTTATAGATTATTTCATGCAGCCTGTGAAGCCATAGCAACCTGAAGATTGTTGCTGTGGTTAAGTGACAGACATCGAGTCAGTTCCAATTCACAGTGACCCTGTAACAGGGTTTCCAGCTGGTGGGTTTGAACTGCTGACCTTGTGGTTCACAGTCCAATGTTGATCCTACATCACCACACCAAGAATTCATGAAAACTTATTAGGAGAACTGTCTGAGTCCACTCATCAAAATACTATAAATATATGCATAAATTTAAAAAATGACAAAAATGCAAATTGTTATCATATTGCTTTACAAAAAGAGATACATGAATAGAAAATGTCTGCTTTCTGATCAGAACATCTTCTCCAAGAATTCAAATAAATACACCCAAGTTCTAGTGTGGTGCTGTGGGTTAACGCACCAGACTGCAAAGCCATTTGAGCTGCAAGGAAGGTGGTTTAAGCTCACTAGCTCCTCAGAAACCCTACACAGGGCCACTATGGGTCAGAATCGACTTGAAAAAAAAGAAAAAAGGACGATGGAATTTTTCCACAGAATTTTTTGAAGGCCCCATACACACACACAAACCCCCCAAGGTTTTTTAACATTCACCTGAAAGCATATAAAGGCCATTTAAAAGTTGTTTACTTGATTGATGGTGGTGTATGTATAATCCACAAGACCACGTGCTTTCCATTGATCAGAATTGTGTATATTTGGAAACCCAGGTTAATGCAATGAGAATATAATGAATTAAAAACAAAGTGTGTATATTTAAAAAGAGTAATAACACTATCTCTGTAAGATATTTTAAAAGTTAATTAAGAGAAAGAAACTTAGAAAGGAAAATTTAAACTATAAAGTTAAATTCAGGTAAAAACCTACTCTTTTTCAAACTCCTTGGCAGTTTTCATCTTTTCTAAGTCTGTTTTCACCAGTTTTGTTTTGAGATCTTCAATTTCTTCTTTATAGGGCTCAGCTCCTAATGCAACTTTGTCCTAAGTTTTTAGAAAGAAAAAAAAAAATAACTAAAATAGTTATTAGAACTGTTTCAATTCCAGTGAAAAGTGGATAACTGCCTTTGATCAAGTGGTGGTGGAGATGTGTTGTGGAGTCAGTTTCGACTCACATCAACCCTGTATAGATAGGGTTTCTGAGGCTGCAAATCTTCATAGGAGCAGAAAGCCTCACCTTTCTCCCGCAGAACAGCTGGTAGTTTGTACTGCTGACCGTGAGGTTAGCAGCCTGACTTGCAATCATTACGTTACCATAGGTCCTTTTGATCCTGTACATTCAAAAATAGCAAACAACTCCAAATACACGAAATGCAAGAAAATTACCAATTTAAACACTAAAATGAATTACTAGCTATTTGATATGGAAGTTTATCTAAAGCCAACATATAGAGAACATTATTTTTATTTCTTACAATAAATATTTTTTCCATTTCAAAAACAAAATGACAATGAAGTTGAAAATAATGAAATCAATGAACAAGAGAAATTATTTATGTAATAAAAAGATGCCAGAGCAAAAATATAAATATCAAACTAGAAATGAAGTCAAGGCACAAAGAACTACATAGCATTGTCAGATATATTTTGTACTGAAAGTTCAATCTGGTAATTTAAGCATTTTCTATGACCACTATGTAATGACACAAAGAAATTAGTCATACATAACATTGTTTAAAATAATCTTGCGACAGTTCAGTGAAATTTGGAAATACTGATTTAGAAATAAATGATAATGAGAACTCTGCATTTCAGACATATGGCAGGTAGCCAAAGCTATATTCATACAAATATTGACAGCTTTAAATATTTTTTGTTAATAAACTGAAAAGCAAATAGAGTTCTTAGCTAATTCTGTTAAGTGCTGCTGAGTCGGTTCCCACTCATAATGACCCTGTAAAGGGTTTCCAAGGAGGGGCTAGTGTGTTTGAACCACCGACCTTGGTGTTAGCAGTCCTGTCCCTATCTTACAACACCATACCAAGACTCCTTAGCTAATGGTGGTGGTGCTGTTTCTGTGCTGGGGAGTCAGTTCTGACTCACAGCCACCCTGTATAGGATTTCTGAGGCTGTAAACCTTATCAGGAGCAGAAAGCCTCATCTTTCTCCTGTGAAGCAGCTGGTAGGTTTGAACAGCTGACTTTGTGGTTAGCACCAAACTTGTAACCCACCATGTTACCAGAGCGTGTCTTAGTTAAGAGCATTGGTTTATTCTTCCTATGTTGCTAATAAATTTTAATTGTTCCACTGGGGAAAAAAACAGACAAAAGAACACAATTCTTTTAGATTATTCTGATTTGAACTATGTTAAATTTAGAAATTAATTTGGAAAACATTAAGAGTTGTGTCAGTTAAAAAAGGGCACATGTCTTAATGCTGAATCATGTGTTCTATTTATGTTTATAGCTTGATGATTCCTTTCATATGTGCTACTCAAGTTAGCCATTCAGACAGTTTATTTTAGATTTCGTGCCCATCATAGATAAGATGCTTTTTGTTATCATACAGGGTTGACCATAAAGTTCAAATGTTTAACTAATTCACTGCTATTTGAGTAAAACAATTTGTAAAGATATAACAGAAACATTTTATTCAAAATTTAAATTCTTAGGATTCTTTTGTTCAATTTTTTTTCCTTTAAAGTAATAAATCCTACATTATATTGGATGGTTATATCCAGATATACTTAAATCATAGTGAACAGAGAAGATTAGAAATTAATATTCTTGCAATTAATTAGTGAAATCTCAAGTTAAATTAACTGTTGAGTTTTTCAAAATTATTTATGTGATATATAGAAGCAAATTTCCAAATTTCAAGTAGTACAAAGATTTTGGATACTCTGTATTTTTCTTTTGCTATACAAATCTATACCCATTACATTATTCTATGTGGTTACTTCCGGTGGTATGCAGGAAAGGGATTTCTTTCTCTTTAGATACTTGTGTCATTCTATATCAAATATTGAAGAAACATGATGCTTACGTCCTAGGACATCACTCTATCTTTTGGAATCAATTCTAATCAACTGATTTTTATGGAATGAGGTAAAAGGAGTTCTGGTGTGGCACTGTAGGATAAGTACTGGACTGCTAACAGCAAGTTTGGTGGTTTAAACCCACCAGCCACTCCTTGGAAGCCCTATACAGAGTCAATATGAAGTGGAACCAATTCAACGATACTTAACAACATTTAAAATATTATTCTAAAAAATTCTAAACTTTTCCAGGTGATTTTCTTTGTATCTCGCTATACCATCAATAGTCTGTAATAAAACTAATACTTTTCTCTTTGCCTCTCTGTTTTATGTCCCATTAAGTTGACCAAAATTTTAGAACAATATTAAATAATAAAAAATGTAAGAATTATTGACTGATACCTTATTTTAGCTTATTTTAGCAGGAGGAGCAAACTTAAATGCTTATTAGGGCCAGACTCAAGTAGTAGAAATGTGAGAACTGTCTGAGGTTAAAATGAAAGAGAATGTTGGGGAGATGACGAATGAGGATGTGGCGTGTCTAATGGCATTCAAGTTTAAAAAATATTCAAACTACTGTCCTTTCCAGAGAAAACAGAATCTTGCTTAGCACACTGAACACCAGATGGGACTCAGTGACAGTGGCTTTTTGGGGAAAAAAATTTTTTTTAAATACATTGATCTAAACAAAGATTTTTATATATTACATTAGCAGCATTTCTTGAAATAGCAATAAAAGAGATACTTCTATACTAAAATGTAACATTTCAGTGTGTCTTAAAATTTAGTTTTCTAGGAAGATAAAAATAAACATTCTGCATGAAAACACACAGCCTGCATTTCACTTCTAAATGAAGCTGTTTGCTTGAGTACTAAACTTCAGACATACATAGGCAACAGGAAATTGCAGTAAAAGGCAAGTGCCAGATTATCCTCCACATTCAACAGCAAAACGAAAGGTAAAGAATAACTCTTATTTATAGAAAGAGTTTTAGTCACCTGGAGTACGTGGATAATTTCTTTTGTTTTTTCAAGGGTTTTATTTGATTCATCAACTTTTGCTTGAAGTTTTGCTATCATATAATGAGTCATCTCAAGTTCTTTCTGCATCTTTATAATCTTGCTTTCCTTATACTTAGCATTTTCTTTAGCTTCCCGTAGTGAAGTTTCTAGCTCTTGAATTTTCTATTTGAAAGATACATATACATAAAGACTGACATGAATACAGAATCACAGTGTATGAGGGGACTTCCACATTTTCCTTGAAATTTCTGAAGTCCCCTTGTGGGTCTCTAATAGTTTTATATTTATGGATACAGAGCATACTATTTCATGGAGGTACCATAATTTACTCAACCAATCACCTACTAATGCACATTTAGGTTGCTTACAGCTTTCTAGAAGTATGTATGAATTTAGGATAAATTTAAATGGTTGATTTTGTTCATGTTTAGAAGAATATTCACATACAGAAACTTCAATGTTGTCCTTAGAAGTATCTTGTTGGTCCACCTGGGATTTATTTCCATGTAAGGAGTGAAGTGAGAATCAGGCTTTTTTTTTTAAGTTTTTACATATTATGCATCAAAAAAACCATTTTTCCCCTCATTGAATTGAATGTTTCCATTATATTAAATTCTCATATACATTTTTATATCTATGTATATATATAATAAGCACTTCTGAATTCTTTATTCTGGTCCCTTGCTCTGCTTGTCCATTCTTGCATCAGTACCAAACTACTTTAATTATAGAAGCATATATTTTAGGATGCAGTAGGCTATTTCTGAGGGTCAAAGAAGATGGAATTTCCTTCTGTTTCTTTACCTTATTGCTTCTGCAGATGGTTATTATTGCTCCTCTTTTTTATTTCTAACAGCTGACTGAAATCTTTAGTGATCAGAAAATCAAAAAATGTGTTTACCAGTGATCTTCTGTACTCTATTGATGATTAATTATTGAACTAGTGGTCAATATTTTATTATAAGCATTTATTTTTATAAAATGATCGATGATAATAATTTACTGTTAGGTGCTCTAGTAAGCGATTATGCCAGAACTCTGTTTTATTTTCCCATGCTTATATTTTATTATAATAAAACCAATATTAAACTATGATATATGAATTTATTAATCAAATTAAACTACAAATGAGTTTGGCTTCATAATTGAAAAATGAAGTTCTTATATAATGTCTAACTTTATAATCAGTTTGAGTGATAGTCACAATAAATCTATGTTTAAAAAACAGGTCCATCAATCTCATATATAAAGAGTATGTATATGTTCCTTTAAACATTTATTTTGCTCCAAAATGTTATAAAGATGCATCAAAAATTCTATGATTAAGTTATACATTTAAGAACATCTGGAAACAGGTTACATACTTCTGTAGTTAGTTGTGTAGTTTTTGAAGTAACATGAGGATCCTTAATATCTTTTGTAGCAGTACATGTAACAATGGCACTGGATGTCAAAGAGGCCTTCCAAGTTTGGTAGTTTTTAAACATTTTTTCACTTTCCTCTTTCATTGATCTCAAGTCATGTTCCCATTCTTTGGATATGGCAGCACTTCTTTCTTCAAACTCTGTTGATTCATTCATTATGGCCTATTGAATATTAAAGCACTGATTAGAGCTCTAAAGTCAATTACAGATAGAGAAAACACTAAGAAAAATATCTGAATTCTCAAAGAGAGCATATGAGGAAATTCATTATTTTGAAAATTCTAGAATAGGATGCTAAAACAATGTAAGCATAATTTTTGGTTTGTATCAGGTCTTGAATTTCAGAAGATATTGGATGTTAATGATGTCAATAAAAGAAAAATAAGAGTTAGAAAGAATTTATCCTGATCTACAAGTTGATATTATTACATTAATACCTGGTGTGGCATTGGACTGCTAACCGAAAGGTCGGTGGTTCAAACTACTAGTTACTCCTTGCAAACACTATAGGAGGTGATAGGTTGCAACAAATTTAACAACACTTAACAACAACAACAACAATTAACATATGAGTAGGATTCTGAAGAATTGTGCAGTTAAGTCATTGTATGAGTGGGCTTCAAAAGACTCATGGAAAAATGAAATGAAAAAATAATGGAACTTTTCCATGAACTTTTTGAAACCCCCTTGTATATGCTATGGTTAAGAACATTCAGTGCCATTTAATAGCAGGGCACATCATGTAAACTTAATTCCTGTTTCACATCAAACCTCAATGCTTATGGGAAAAATAACTCATTGACTTTTTGTAATTAATCTGAAAATCTTATATTTCTGTGCAGAGAATAACAGTTAGTAGTCGTAAGGAATACTTTATGTAAATTAAGAAGCTCTGGTAGCATAGTGGCTACGAGTCGGGCTGCTAACCTCAAGGTCAGCAGTTCAAAACTAATAGCTGTTCCATGGAAGAAAGATGAGGCTTTCTGCTTTCATTAAGATTTACAGCCTCAGAAACCCTATGAGTCGGAATCGACTCTACAGCACATCACCACCACCACCCACCCACCATTCTTCACACTGATGACTAACTCACCTTACTCAGTATCTCTCTACTTTGTAACTCCTTTGGAAAATTCTTTTTGGTCTCATCATAAATACCTTACTGATTTTACAAGAAACTTTATATCTATCCTGATCCATGTTGGTAAAAATCTCTATTTCCTGATCATAACTAGGCTCTCAATATTATAAGAAAAACACTGAATTACATAGACATTATCTTATCCAAATACTATTTTCTGCCTCTGTCTCTTGACTATGGATATTTTTTTCTGAAGCATTCATTTAATATTTTGCTAACTTTGACAACTCAACAACTTTTAAAAAGTATTATGCCATATTTCTATGTGATTTAAGAAAAGTTCCCAAATGAAATTTAAGTGCCAAAAAAGATCTATTTGAAAACACAAAACAAATTGTGGGAGTTATATAATCTAACTCTCTATGGACTCATTTATTTATTATAAGTAACCTTCTTGATTTCACTTATCTGACCAGGTATATATATGGAAGGGATACTTCAGAAAGTAGAAATGAATATTCTGATAACTGAAAAATAAAAACACTAACACACTAACAGACTGATCATCTTAGGAACAATGATAAATATTTCCAGCCTTGAAAGATAATACAAGGGAGCTTCAAAAGGAGAATCAAAATTGGAATTTTGTACTGATAATAGTGAAGCCCTTTGTACTGATAATAGTGAAAATCCCACGAGACACTACTACAGTAAATGGCTAGGTGTCAGGCCTTGCTACACAGCTGTTGGCTCTAGTCCTGACACTGGCTCATGTTTCCGCCTTAACAGGGAACAGACTGGTTTCCAACTGAAGCAGTAAGAAGGTGAAGGGGAGATTGCTAATAGGAGTCAAAACTTAACAAGCAGAAATTGAACTATACACCAGGACTGTTACCTTCTTTGTTTGTGTAAGTTGATATCTATCTATCTGTCTATATCTATCTATCTATCTATCTATCTATCTATCTATCTATCTATCTATCTATCTATCTATCTATCTGTCTGTCTGTCTGTCTGTCTATCTATCTATCTATCTATCTATCTATCTATCTATCTATCTAATCATCTTACTGAAACATGCTGAGAAGTTTTACAAAGTCAATCTTTTTTGTAAAGCATGTTGAGAATTAAAGAAACCATACTTAAAATTGTTTTAAGAAAATGAAATCAAACAACAAAAGAGGCAGCACAATAAAAATTATTACTTACAATTATTTTGTTATTATAGAAGTTATTCACTTGACACATCCTATCATTTTCTTTCTGGATGTCATTTTGAAGCTTTTCTATATCAAAATGAGTATTTAACCACTCTTTCAAAACTTGAGTCATTTCTTTCCTCTTATCTATTACTTGCTGAAATTCAGTCTTTATGCTGAGGAAGTCATGTTCTGAGACATCTTTGAGAATTTCCTGTGTGAAAATAAGCACTAAGTCTCCTGAACATTTTTTCATTGAAATATTACATACATCATCAATAAAAGAGAAAATACCTTACTGAATCCTCATTCTCATATAATTCTAATTTGAACTTTATTCTAACTATTTGCATAAAAGGTTTTTTGGCAGTATAGAGTATGTGACAGAGGTATGTATAAATTTTCTGCCTGTCAATTAAGTCTGTGACTAATAATTACAACATTTGAAATGTTTCTGGATTTGGCTTTTGTGTGTAAGAGTAGGTCTTACATGCAGGTTGGGACCTCCCAGTCAACTTCACATTGCTGAGAGAGAGGCAAGACATTCCATGCAAAGTTGTTGTAACAAGAAAGTGTCTGACTTAGTCATAGATGTAGGAAGTCTTAGAAGGTATTTGGAAACTTCTTCGGGTTCCATAAATTCCCATCTGTTAATATTAAATCAGTTTCTTTGTGTCTGTGGAGGTCTAAAAGGAGGCTAGTCCATTACTTGACACTCTTTTTATGTCTGTAACCTATTTTTAATTTCTAGTAAATGAAAGTAGCTCTAAGCAACACGAAAAAGTACTTTTCTACTTGATAAAAGGCTTATGATGTGTGTAAATCAATTTCAAGAAATTATACCTCAATATGTAGATCTATAAGCTGGCACAATTTGAGGTCCCTTACTTCATTGGATGGTATGTCACAATCTTGTTGAAGGTTTTGTATTTTAATAATGAGTTCATTTTGCTTTTCCACTTCATCAATAAAATCCATTTCAAATTTATTGATGGCTTCATGGTGTTCTTCCTTTATCTTTGTAACAAGGCTTAACACATACTTGCAGAAAAAAACCACACAATAACAAATTGGAAAATGAAACTTTTATCACATTTAGAGGACATTAAAAAAGCATGTGAGATGGGATGGATCTCTTGTTCGCCTATACCCTCGAATATGAGAGGAAAAAGGAAGGAGTTTCTATCTTTAATTTTTTCTTGGTGTCTGAGGAGACACAGACTTCTATCTAGTTCTATATTTCTGACTTCCTAGTGAATATAACTCTCCTGGATGTCCTACAAATATGTCAAATTCATTATGTTTAAAATGTTACATGACCCATTTCACTATTAACTGATCTTTTCCTACTGTTTCTTTTATAGTTAATAATTCCCATCATCCTGGTTTTCTAGCTAGACACCTGAGACTTATTTTTAGCATCCTCCCTTGCCTGCCTTGACTGAGCTAAACATTAACATTGACATGGCTCAAGTCTTACTTGGCTTCTAAGTGACAATAATTTGAGTGTCCTATGTTTCATGGATCTAGTGAAAAGAGTTCTGTATGTCTGAGAGGCAGATCTCTGGAAGGATATCAGAGCCCAAGGGGTACTTTATCTTTCTACAGTCCTCATTTTCTTAAATCTGGTCTTCTCCTCTAACCACTCAACTAAAACTATTCTGATAAAAGTCACCAAATCTCCATCATCACCAAAATGAGGTATTTTTCAGTCCATATTCTGGCTGTCAGCAGCAGTCTTTGCTACTCTCGACAATTGTCTTCGACAATTTGTCTTTGACATGCATACTCCTCCACTGAAGAGTGCTATTACTTTTGTTGGTTCTCTTTGATTTTCCAACCTCAAACCCATGCATTCCCTGCACTTTTGTTAATGACCTTTGAACATTTATTTTTTTTGAGAGTTTTCTTCTTTATTGATGATGATTATTATATAATAATTATTATTATACTTTATTATTCTATTATGCTTTCTGGGTGACTTTTACCTATGTAGTATTATCTACCTATATGCTGTTAAAGAGTCCTAGATTTTTCTTTTCCCAAACATCAGACTTACAATTAAATGTCTACTGGGTTTCTCTTGTTGGATATGTTATCATAGGCATTTCAACCTTAAAATATCCCAAACACTTGACCTCTCCCCCTGCCTTATCCATTTTGTTCCTTTTTGTTTTTCCTTTAGCTCAGTTAAAGGCAGCACTATATACAAACCTGGATACACCCAAAAACTGGGACTCAAATTGAAATTTTTCTCCCTTACATCTATTAGTAATCAAGTGAACCTACCATTTAAAAGTTAAATGGTTCTTCAATCCATGTTTTCCTCTTCATCCCTACAGTTACTTCCATAGTATTAAAATAAAAAAACCCTATTAACTAACTAACTAAACCAGTTACCATCAAGTCAATTCTGGCTCATGAAGAATCCATGTATGCCAGTGTAGAACTGTGCTCCATAGAGTTTTCAAATAGCTGTCATTTTTTTTTGGCAGGGGGTGGTGGTGGTGGTGGTGTGGGGGGTGGGAGGAAGGGGGAGGCTTTTTATTGTGAATTGAGTGAAGGTTTACAAAGCAGATCATCAGTTTTACATTCAACTAATCAAACACTTTGCTTCATCGCATTGATTGCAATTTCCTCCCTGTAACACGGTCTCTCACTTCCTATTTCTATTTCACCCTCCTTTCCATTTCTTCTCAACTTTGTTCTTTGGTAAATGTCCTTTTGATCTTAAATGATTAACCATTCCATGGTGAAATATCTGTGTTGTTGTCCCTCCTATAAACCTACCTATTACTTAGCTGAAAATTGGGCTCCCCATCATCTGTAAGTGAATAGCAAGCATTAGGACCTGACCTTGGGTTTCACTACAGTTACATCTTGTATAACTTTTCTTCTAGTATTTCATAGTAACATAGTTCTATCACTGCACCTATCTGTCTGTATGTTGAGATAATTTGAGATATTATTTATATCTATCTCCTGAACATAGAATCTAAGTTTATACACAGAGTTCAGGCTTTGATAAATAAACAGGTTCTAAGCATACTGAAGATCTTGCACATGAGCTCTATTATTAAAAATTCAGCAGTAGGCAGATTAATATCAAATATGACAACTCCCAAAGCAGGACTCAAACAAACAGAAATTTATAATTGAAAATTTCAGACATTAATAAGGATATTACTCAAAGAGGTGGTACCTTAAGTTTCTCCATGACTCTATGGAATTCTGTGGAACATCTTTGGTTAACAGCGAGAAGTTTTTGAATCTGTTTGGTTTGTGAACACGGAAGTGAGAGTTTTGCTTTTATTCTAATCAAAATCTCTTTTTGGTTTTCAATTTCCTTTTCCAAATCAAGAGACAATGTATTCAAGAACTCATAACAATTAATTATCTCTGAGTATTTCTTCAGAAGCTCCTAAAGAAAATTAGAATCCATTTAACAATTCATTCTACTCATTTAGCAATAAATGGTCTCAGTCCTCAAATTCTAACAAAACTTACACTAATACTATTTTAGGAGAGAAAAAGAAATCAGACCTTTGTGTTAAAATTACAAAACAAACCAACTGTTGTTGATCCTGAATTCCAGAAATAATACGTAGTTATTGTGGGAATTTTTAAACAATGAAAATGAGAAACAACAATTGATATTATTAGGATGCACTTTCTTTTTTGTCTTTTGGTTTATAGACATGCAGGCACAATACAAATATAACAGATTACAGGTTATAAAATTTTATAAGCATGTTTTAGAATTACAAGATGACATTGATTATTTTAAAGGTCTGTGAAATCCTTTATTAGAAATCAGTGTTTGCTCAATATTCTGTTACATGGATTTTATATAAAAAAACAACAACAACCAGATCTGTTTTATACATTAAATTAAAATTTTTACTATTAAAAATGCTACTAATATGGGGAATCTTAATTCACAAACCTTTGATTACATTTCCAATAACTTTTCAGGAATAATTCCTTAAAGTGGATTTACTAGGTCAAAAGACATGAACGCTTTGAAAATACTGATACTAACAATTTACAGAAAAAAGAGACTAAATTATCCTCTCAAAAGGGAATTTCCTCTCTAATCAATATCTTATCAGAATATAATAGTATTGACCAAACCAATATACATACAAACTCCACACAACCCAAGAAGACCGGACTTTGACAGAAACATTAGTACCTCATTGCTATCTTCATTTGTGTTTCTATGATATATTATTATTTCACGCCCAGATTTTATCAAACTGTCTACTCTAGTACCTTCATGACATGATTCTGCTCTCATTTAACTAGGACTTCTGAGGGCACCCTTACCAGCTCTGATTTCTTCAAAAATTTATGTTCTGTAGGCCCTGTCGTACGACAATATTAGTCTAATTCTACATTCTTTCCCTGTGCGAACTAGCTACTTTTAAATGTTCAATACTATCTTATTGCTATGTTGACAAATTTCAAATCTTTTGCTTTTTAGAACTCTGTTAATAATTCTAGCACTCCAATTACTGTATTGCTTTAGAAATATCAGGTATTTTGTTTGTTTCTCCTGCTGAATATTTAGCAACATGAATTGTATGTTACTTATCTGCTCCCACAATATGTATTCCAGTGTCTACTACTTAGGATGACCTCAATAAATGTTGGCTGGATAAGTGAGATTTAAAAAAGAATTTTTTTACTGCAATTAAACATTTTGCTTTTTCATTCTGAGTTATTAATTTTTGTCCTTTGCTAAATTCTCTAATATATTTATATAATTTTTCCTATTGATTTATTTTTTGCACTTTTTACACAACATTGATATACTAATGTTGTTGTTAAGTGCCAATGAGTCAGTTCCTACTCATAACAACCCTGTATAGGGTGGGTTTCTGAGTAATGGCTGGTGGGTTTGAATTGGTCACCTTAAGGTTAGCAGCCCAGTGTTTATCCTACAGGACTCCTATTTGTGGTATCTTTCCTACCCACAGTTTGTTGTCTTTTAAATTTGGTTGATGTCAAATGAGGAAGTCAAAGAGCTGGGGAGAAAATTTCAGTGTGGCTTGAGAAGACAAAAATCCAGTATTATAATGAAATGTTCAAAGATTTGGAATTAGAAAAACAAAGGAAGTGCATGCTCAACATTTCCCAAGCTGAAAGAACCTAAGGAAATATTCAAATCTCAACTTGTAATATTAAAGATTCCATGGGCAAAACATTGAATGATGCAAAAAGCCACCAAAAGAAGATGGAAGGTATACACAGATTAGGGTACCAAAAAGAAATGGTTGATGTTCAACTATTTCAAGAGGTAGCATATGATCAAGAATGGATGGTATGGAAGTAAAAAGTCCAAGTGCCACTGAAAGCATTGGCAAAAAACAAGGCTCTCTAGAAATTAAGGGAATACACACTGAAATCTTTCAACAAGCTGATGCAGTACTGGAGGTACCCACTCATCTGTGCCAAGAAATTTGGAAGATAGCTACATGGCCAACCAATTGGACAAAATCCATATTTCTGCCCATTTCAAAGAGAGGTGACCCAATGGAGCATCAAACAACATCATTAATATCACATGAAGGAAAATTTTGCTGAAGATAATTCAAAAATGGCTGCAATAGCACACTGACAGAGCACTACCAGAAACTGAAGCCAGAGAGATGTTTACTTGTGCTTTATTGACTATGCAAAGACTTTTGGCTATGTGGATCATGACAAACTATGGATACCATTGCAATACTGGTATTCCAGTTATTAGAAAAGGGGGATACTGAAATGGTTTAAAATTAGGAAAGATGTGTGCTAGGGTTATATTCTTTCACCATGCTTATTCAGTCTTTATGCTGGGCAGATAATCAGAGTAGCTGTAATATATGAAGAAGAATGTGGCATCAGGATTAGAGAAAGAGTCATTAACAACTTTTGTTATGCAGATGTCAAGCCTTGCTCACTTAAAGTGACGAGGACTTAAAACTACTTTGAAGAAGATTAAAGACTACAGTTTTCAGTATGGATTGTATCTCAATGCAAAGAAAACAAAACCCCTCACAACTGGACCAATAAATAACATCATGATAAATGGAGAAAAGACTGAAATTGTCAAAGACACCATTTTGCTTGTATCTACTATCAACACTCATGGAAGCAACAGTAAAGAAATCAAAGGACATGCTGCATTAGGCAAATCTGCAGCACAAGACCTCTTTAAAGTGTCCAAGAGCAATGACATCAGTTTAAGAACTAAGATGTCCTGACCCAAGCCATCATATTTTCAATGGCCTCATATGGATGTGAAAGTTGGACAATGGAAGAAGACAAAAAAGAGTTGATACATTTGAGTTAAGGTGCTGGAGAAGAACACTGAAAGTACCATGGACTGCCAGAAGAACAAACAAATCTCCGTTGGAAGAAGTACAGCCAGAATGTTTGTTATAAGGTAGGATGGTGAGACTTCGCTTCTCATACCTTGGACATGTTATCAGGAGGGCAACAGTCCTTAGTAAAGTAGAGGGTCAGTGAAAAAGAGGAAGACCCCCCCTTGCCCCTCAAACAAGATGTACAGTGGCAGCAACAATGGGCTCAAGTGTAACAATAATTGTGAGGATGGCACAGGACGGGGCAGGTGTTTTGTTCTGTTGTGCATAGGATCGCTATGAGTCAGAATTGACTTGATGGCCCTGAACAACAACGACCCTGTGCTGAATTTCCTCACTGAGTCTTAGTTTCCTTGTTTATAAATGGAGCAATAAACCCTATCTCATGAAGTAAAGTACCCAGTTCAATGTCTGTCATGTGACAACCAGCTGTCTTTGAGTAGATTCTGATTCACAGTGACACCATATGTGTTCTAGAGTAGAACTGTCTTCTTTAAGGTTTTCAATGGATACTTTTTCTGAAATAGATCGTCGACTTTTCTTTGCATCTTGGAATGGGCTTGAACGTGTAGCTTTTCAGTGAGTAGCCAAATATGGGCCCATAAGCTCAGAGGACATACTGATCAGAACACAGATGGAGGAATATGTGAAGTTCAAGTTGCTACACATACATATATACATCCACTGGCATCACTTCATTTCTGATTTATCGTGACACTATGTGAGAGAGCAGAATACCGCTACAGGATTTTAATGCTGTAATTCTTTACAGGAGCCTCATTTTTCTCTTGTAAAGTGGCTGGTGGGCTCAAATCACCACCGTTTTGGTTAGCATCCCAATGCTTAATCCACCAAGGCTCTTTCATGTTGTTATAACGATGTAATAAGTAGCATGTGTAGTTCAGGATAGTAAACAATATACAAAGGGGCTCCTGACGTTAATAGCCTGTTTTTAAATAATTTAAGAAAAAGTTGTTGTTGCTAAGTGTCGTTGAGTTGGATATGACGCATAGTGACCCTGTATAGGGCTTCTGAGGAGGAGCTTGTGGGTTTGACCTGCCAGTCTGGTTAGCAATCCAGTGCTTATTCTACAATGCCATACTTGCTGTTGTTGCTGTTAAGTGTCACAGAGTTGGTTCCGACTCAAAGTAATCCTGAATAGGGTTTCTGAGGAACTGCTGGTAAGTTTGAACCCTTGACCTTGTAGTTCAGTGCTTATCCTACAGTTTCACACCAGTATTTCTTAAATGTTCATTAATGGGGGTGTTGGAGAGGGAATTCCTGCCTTTCATCACATTATAATTAAAAGCAGTCCTGCATAATCATTCATTTGCACTTTTAATAAATGCATATTGGATACTTAGTCTTTTGTCAGGAATGTACTAAGCGATATAAATAACTATAAGCAATGGTGACACCAGCATCTTACATTCTAGTAGTGGTGACACCAAATTCTGTTGGCTTAACTCTTAATCTATATTCAAAATGCAAACTCTTCTCACGACTTCCACTGCTCTGATTGGATTATTGCAATCAGTCTTTTGAATAGTCTTCCTGCTTCCACTCTGTCTATTGAACACACAAAAACAGACACCCTTGAAAACATTAAGTCTGTTCATGTCTCTGTTGCAGTAAAAAAATCCTTCCTGTGAATCTCCTTATAGAATAAAACCCAGTTCTTATAAGGTCCCACAGCTTCCATCTGCTGTTACTAATGGAACTCTCTGACCAATTTCTTATTAGCTTTCACTTGCTTTGTACTTGCTGCTCCCTCTGCCTATAGTGCTCCTTGTCCAGATACTTGTATGCTCAAGCATCACCTGTCCAGTTAGGTCTTACATGGCCACATTCCATTTTGAGTGCATTTATACACACACACACACACCTAAAAAAATTGAGCATTTTCTATTTATTCCATGAAATTTCCTTTGATTGATTGTTAGGTTTTAGAAAGTCATTGTAAAGGGTACCAATGGTGATTGGTAGTTTTAATGAATAACTTACTTTTACCCTGAAGCATTTTTCTCTGAGGGTCTCTGTAAGCTTCTGTTTTCCATCACACAGTGAACTTTTTTCATATTTTATAATTTCTTTGTGGTTCTGTTGGTCCTGCTTCGGAGTAAAGAAATAAACTGGGTTTCAGCCCTAACTTCACTCATATATAGTGTTTAATCATCAGTATTATTAATATTTTTTGACATCATTTCAGTAGTGGAATTAAATATATATTTATAATTAAAAGAAAACATAAAAAAATGGCAACAACAAAAAAGAATAGTACCACTGTCTTTCAGTGAGTAACCACAACTTATTGGGAAAAATAGTAAAATACTGGGAGGAGAACCATCTAACGTTTAGCGACAGGATTTGTTTATGTAACCATTGTACTTGCAAGCTATGTTTTAGATTTATTTCTGGTTCCTACTCTATATTACAATTATCACTGCCAACTAAAGAGGCATAGTGGCTGAGCTCACACATAGCAGTGATTGTGAGGATGGCGTAAGACCAAGTAGCATTCTGTTCTGTTGTACAAAGGGTCCCAGGAGTTGGAAATGATTCAACACCAACAATGACAGTAACAACAAATATACCAGAAAAGTCACCAATACTATGCTATACCACTCATGGCACTCCAAGCCAATGCAAGTACCCGGGTGTAAAAAGTTCATATCTTGTGTTTATTTTATATTTTTGATTGAAAAGTATACATTTCTTCCTACTTGGTTATCTTGTTGACTACAGTACCTAGAAGAATGCTGAAACTGTTCAGTAAATATTTGTTGGACGAATTAAATCTATCTTAAAATTTACTTAGAACCAATATAAGAAGAAGCGGTATAAGGATTCTCAAGTGTCTGATGTTTTAGTTGAGATTGCAAATTTATTATTTTCTACAGTTTATTCTTTCCTTACTCTTGAAATATGGAAATGAAAGATTTTTTTAATCTTCTTAATAGATTCATATAACTTTTTATTTGTCTGAATTTTCTTTTTGGACAATTTCATTAGTTTTTAAAGAGACATGATTCTAAGTATTTGTAAATAGTGGTCCTGGAAAAGCTTCATCTTTTTTCATTCTAACTTCACTAACAAAAGGCTTCTCTCTAAGACTCTGTTGTGTAGTAAAAGGGATCTACTTAGGTTCCTATGTGTGTGAGAAATTATAATAGTTTTCCCATCATCACCTGTTATCATTTACTATTTGTAAAAAGTTTAATTCTTATAGTTAGTAGCTAGGGGAAAATTACAAACTCACTCTCACTATAATTTCTCCAAAAGGGCTTCTCTCCATTTTGAGAGAACCTTTTATTCTCATCAGCTCATCTCTTTCCTTAGCTATAATTCTTATTTCTTCTTGGTTTACATGACGTTTCTTAGTCAAATGCAAGTTTTTCATTTCCAAACTATGCAGAGATAAATTCGGGGCCTCAAGTTGCTTCTTCAATTGTTCCAGTTCATTCATTTTTTCCTGAGTATTATTGACATCTTTCAATTTAAGACGTTGAATCTCATTTTGCTGAAGTTCTTGAATCTTGAGATAATTACAAAACAAATTAAAATGTACACTGAATTCCTTCAGGGAAGGAAAATAGTGTTCATTTGCTATATATGTACAAATGTCTGTAACTACATATCTCTATCTCTACACGTGTCATTTCTCATTCTTCAAATAGTTTTGGACCCTAAAGAAAAACTCTTTAGAGAAAAACAAACCAATACATACCTTTTTCTGTAATTCATCTTTTGATTTATTTAAATCCTTTTGAATATTTGAAATTTGGGCTGTCTGTTCTGAAACTTTCTCTTTGAATTTATCAGCAGTTTTCTGGTATTCTTTTAAATGCATGCGAGCAATTTTTAGTTCCTGTTGTGTTTCTAGATCCTTTATTATTAGAAGAAATTGAGAAATGTGATACTATAGTCACAAATCATCTTAATAATTAACCAGTTTAAAGAAACATTAAAAAAATACATGATCAGAGTTAAAAACAACCACCATGAGAAACCAAAGTAAATAGCAACCTACACTAGAACAGTACAAAAGGATAGAGAATAGAATCTCCTGCTCCTAGCCTCTCCCTACTTAGTCCTGCTTCCTGATAATTTTGCGACTTGCTTTTTTCTCCCTTCATAGGATGCTTGGGCATCCTTCTAAATCAATATCATATATAAAGAGCACCCTCATTCTCATGTTTTCCCCACTGCCACTGAGTTGAAACCCACTCTATGTGACCCTGTGTAGGGTTTCTAAGGCTGTAAATATTTGTAGGAGCAATAATCTCGCATCTTTCTCCCAGGGAGTGTCTGGTGGGTTGGCAGTCTGATGTTTATCCTACAGAGAACACCAGGGCTCCTTATTGTTATGCTTGTTTTTGTTGTTGTTGCTAAATTCCATGGAATCCATTCTGATTCATAGGGACCCTGTATGGGGTTTCTAAGGAGTGGCTGATGAGTTTGAACCACTGACCTTGTGGTTTAAACTGACCTTGCAGTCTAGTGCTTTATCCCATAGCACCACACCAGGACTCCACTGTTTTGCTTAGTATTTAATTATACACATGAACCCAACTTAGCCTGTGTCTTATTGGTTATCACAAATAATGTTACAGTGAATATTACTGTTTTGTCCAAATGTAAGAACCTATTAGTAGGATAAATTACTAAAAATGGATTGCTGTAGAAATTGCCTATGTTGATGTATTTTATTTAAGATATTGTTAAACTCCCTCCACAAAAGGTATAACATTTGCATTCTCACTAACAGTATTAAACATAATACTGGATAGGAAGATAGAACATAACTCACTCTGGCTATAGTTTTCTGTAGGTTTTCCTTGAGCTGGTCTCTTTCTAATTTGAGGGTGTCTTCTACTCTCTTTAGATTATCTCTTTCTTTCATCACTGATTTGTTTTCTTCAAGATTTTCATGAAGTTTCTGAGCCAAATTTAAATTCTCCATTTCTAGTTTATCCAGAGTTGAACTTTGGGTCTTCAGTTGTTTCTTCAACCTTTCTATTTCACACATTTTGTTCTGTGTCTCACCGATATCTTCTTTTAATTGATGAAGTTGGTGTTCATTAGCCTTAAGTTCTTGGACCTTAAGATAATCACAAAATAATGTTAGGATATAGAGGATTTTTAAGGCAAGGATAAAAAATACTTCCAAAATGATTAAAAGAGTCTTCCTATGTCACTCATACAGTTTACATAATTACACAAGGATTTATTTTGTGAATTATAGTATACATAGAATATACTAAACTTAGCTCCATTCTTCTTGACATGTATAAACATCTATACCAGAAAGATGCTTGTTGTTGTTGTTAAGAAAGATGCTTACTTGTGGTTTATTGACCATACAAAGATATACAACTGTGTGGATCATAACAAATTATGAATAATATTAAGAAGAATATGAATTCCAGAACACTTTGTGGTCATGAGGAACATGTATATAGACCAAGAATTGAACAAGTGGGATATGGAATGGTTTAAAATCAGTAAAGGTGTGCATCAGGGTTGTACTTGAATTCAAGTACTTGTATGATGAACAAATAATCCTACAGAGAAGCTGGATTATATGAAGAACTTGATATCAAGATTACAGGAATGCTCATCACAACCAATGAAACGCAGATGACACAATCTTACTTTCAGAAAGTCAATAGGACTTGAAGTACTTACTGATAAAGTTGAAAGCCTTCCACATATATATTGCACCTTACTGAAAAGAAAGCGAAAATTTTCACAGATGGACCAATAAAATATCATCATGATAAATGGAGAAAAGATTAAAGTTGTTGAAGACTTCATTTTACTTGGATTCACAATCAATATTCAAGAAAGCAGCAGTTAAGAGATCAAATAAGGGACCATCAATGGAGAAGAATGGAGAGCGGGACCCCACCCAGAGAAGCAGTGAAGCCTGAGATGAAGACAGAGAGGACAATGTGAAGAGATGGAGTGCCTGGGGAGTTGAGACCCAGAGAGGAAAAGGGGCTGGGTGCTGAGGACCGTGTGTATGTGTGTGTGTGTGTGTGTGTG